CCCCCCCCCCCCCCATTGTGTAGCTAAAACATCTTGCTGGAAGATAAAGAAATTTCTGAGAAATTCTAAATCACTTTGTCAGCTTTTCTTTCTTTTGTTTTGGTTTTTATTTGAGAATATTTTTAGAAGGTAGACAGTAAAACAGATTATTACATCTGGAAGGCTGAGGAAAAATGCAACATTGATTTCTACATGTCTTTATTCTGTATATTCATACAGAATATTCTCAGAAAGACTTTAAAATTATATATATTACACCATTGTTCAGATAATATTATCTAATGGTTATTTATACAATTTATATGTTAATATGTTAAAAATGTATTACTAGATGAGGAAATTAATATTAACCTAGAATAATTAATAAATGCTGTACAAGTTTTATAATTTTGTATTAGATATTGCACTAACTAATGTTAATGTATAGACCCTTTCAGTAAAGTGTTGCTACTGTATGTTCTCCTCACGTGCAGAACAATGGCATCATTAAATTTATTGCTATGTTCTGTTTCTTGTCCCCCTCCCCCTTCTGCTTTAATCTTCTTAACTGAATAAGGAATTTCCATTACATTTCCATGAATTAGGATTAAGTTTTTTTCTGGTTAGTGTGTATATCTCATCCACATGCCATCATCAATCGACCATAATTATAAATCAGAAGTCTGTAGTCAAACAGCCTTCAGTCTTCCTTTGGTGAGTCATTACTCACTCTATCATGGGTAGATCCATGCTGCCGATAGGACTACACCGTGTAGCTCTCATTTGTGAATCATTTAAGGGTCACCGGAGGACCACTGGCAACTGTTTATGAGTAGTATCATTAATGTAGTATGAGTGAGTGAACTCAAAGTTTAGTAAAAAATGTATGTACTGTAGATCATTTGGTTTGAACAGTAACTCTCATATTCCTGGAAAACTGATTAATGAGAATGCTAACGGTTAGCTTTCCCAAGTATAACAGATCGCCTCGGTAGTGGTAGTATTTCGTGACTTGGATATCGTGATACTACCGTAGGACCACCGTGCAACATTATTAGAGATTATTAGAGGTGATGAGCAACGTGTCCTAGGGTGAGTCTGAGTGTGTGTCTGCAGCCAATTTTGGCACCTGAAAGAGCTACTGATTATTTTGCAATTACTCCTCACCTTGAGTCAAAGAATGTACTGTGTCGCAAGGGATCGGTCCTGCTCTGACATCCAGTCACCCTTTTTTTGCCTTCTCTGCTTTTGCCTGCAGTGTCTGTTTATGAGTTCATGCCTGCTCCTCCTGCCTGTCCTCAAACACTCTCCGCCAATTAGAGCAGACTTCCATATCCAGCTGTATTTTATACAACTCGAACATACTGCATAAGAATGCATCTGATATAGTAAGGTGGGATGGGTAAGAAAAATAATTTATAAAGGTCTCTTGAATGTTTTGTCGGGGAAAAGAAGGTCGCTATAAACACATTTTCAACTTTTCAGCCTTTTCTAGCATACTATTCCAGTTTTTGCAGTGTGAATTGTGTTTCATCAGCCTGCAGTGTACATAAAGAAAAAATGTCATGAGGAACATGATACTAACAAGTTGTCAAGTCAACAGCTTCTAGGGTCTGAACAAAACCAACTCCATTGACAGAGATGAAGAAAGTTTTGATTTGTTTTAGGGGCCTGAAAGTGATTCGCAAGAGTTTTGCTTTATATTTATATATTTCCAACAAACTTTAAAGCAAACTGAGTTCGTCTGGTCTGAGTATGGTTTACTTTAAGTTTGAACTCAAAGGTTCACCAGGTTCACTTTAATTTATTTTTCGCATCATGGCAAATATTTTTAGTCATTGTGGTAAAAAGGTAATGATGACACGCAGATGAGAAGATGAGCCACTTATTTTATTTTTATGGAGACGACAGGATGAGGAGCATATTAAAAGGTATTGTAAAGTACACAGACTATCAAAAGTGTTCTTTCAGTGCTCTGCATGAATGAAGGCTTAAAGGTCCATACTGCCTTGTAATGCCACTTGAAAGTTGACAGAAATATAATATAATTGTATTTTATGTATACATTTATTCTTTAGCAATTTTGTGATTAGTTCCTTTATTTTTTATTCATTTTTATTTTTAGTTATTTAGATAATATTGTTTTCTTTTTCTTTTTCATATGAAAATGTATCTGTTAAAATGTATTTAATAAAATTTAACTATTTTCTAAATATTTTCATATCAAACGCATTCAGTTTTAATGTGTACATTAAAATGTTTCTCCTATAAACTAAAAGAAAACAAAGTCAAATGTAGTAAACACTCTGATGGTCAATTAAATAATAATTTACAATAATTAAAATAATTTTATTGAACAGTGCTTCTATTTCCATTATCATTAGTGTTAAACATTATAATATATAATGCTTAACACTACATTATAATAATATAATATAATATAATATAATATAATATATCTATTATCTTTTCAGTATGTGTTTCCCTGTCTACAGTCCATGCATGAAAACATCTGAAAAGGAGAAAGAAAAAAAAAGAAAGAAAGAAAGCATCAGTTATGAATTGCACCTTACGAAAAGGCTACACATAACAGACTACACAGCTTGTAAATATCCTCAGTAAGATCACTGAAAGAAAGATCATGTTGTAAAGAATGAGATCAGGCCTGGATCTAGTTTTCCACTGAGAGCCGTATCAAACTATGGATGTTGTCGCTGCACCATCTCAAGATTTCAGTAAAAATGGCTGCTCGGTGGAGAGCAGCAGCTATATGTGAGGGTTCAGATTAATTATAATGATCGGTGTGGGTGAATAATGCATGACAATAGGAGTCTGCAGTCTCTGCCAGGCTCATGGTAAGCTGATTAATTATGTTGATGTGACACTCCCACATAAACATGTGCGCAGGAGTGTGTTACTCTTTTAACACAGGCTTCCATCCTTCTCACCCTTGAGTTTCAATCCCACTCTATCTTTCTGCTGTGCTGTGCTGTAGTGAATGATCGTAGAACAGATTGCACATACCCGCTTAAAGCTTTTCTGAGTATATTACTTTCATTCTTTTTGGTACTTCCTCCTCTCTGGGCTGTCCAAAAGCATGTCCATTAAAAGAGTATTGGTGACAGCTTTTAGTGGTGAGGTTCATTTAACACTGGAGGATTTTAAATCAAGCCACAGAGTTTATGCAGTCTCAGTTCTAGCTATTAGACATATTTTTTTTCCCATTTTCTTTTCTCCCTAATTTTTCATCTGTCCTCACTGTTTCATCCACTGTTCCCTAAGATTTTCCAAATGTTATGATCCATTTCCTCCCAGTTCTTCTCCAGTGTGTCTCTGGCTCTCACAGGCTGGCTGTAGACCACCCTAAGGACTAGTTAGGTTGAGAGACATCTTGATAGACAAGCTTACATATCATTGTCATAACAGAGCTTCCTCTCTCAGTAGACCACTTAATGGAGTGTTCTGGTTTGGGCAAAATTTAGAAATGAAAAATTGGCTCCTTTTCAATGAATGAGACTAAAGGACTAATGGAATGACAGATATTGGAATTTACTGATAATTCAGAGAAATCTAACAATTAGTGGTATTGTGTGAGTTGTGATATATATACTCAGCATATTTATATTAAATGTAGTTCATTTTAATCCTGCTTCCTAAAATTCAAAAGCAATTTTGTAACATGATGTGCCACTTAGTTGTTTCTATTCATTGAGTCATTCAATTATTCAATCTAAATCACAAGGTGACAATGAACTTACAATGGTAAAAGTAAATGAGGCAAGGCAATAAGTGCTAAAATACACACGGTTTAAAGTCACATGATTTTCAATTTAAAGGGGTAGTTCACCCAAAAATGTGTGAATTCTGTTGTCGTTTGCTCATCTTAAACTTGTTCCAAACCTTTATGAGTATTTTTTCTTCTGCTGAACACAAAAGATTATGTTTTGAAGAAACAATTGCTGGTCTCCATTAACGTCCATAGTATTTTTACCCCCAGACTTCCATATTTTCCATGCTTTCCATATTGTCTTCAGAATATATTTTGTGTTCAACAGGTGAAATAAACTATATAGGTTTGGACAACTTGAGGCGAAGAAAATTACAGTGAAGTAAAGTATTTTAGTAAACTGTAATTAGTTACTGTACTTAAAGGGGTCATCTGATGCAAAATTCACTTTTGTTGTTGTTTGAACATAAATGTGTGTTGGAAGTGTGTGTACACAACCACCCTATAATGATAAAAATCCACCCAGTGTTTTTTTTTTAAATCCCTATTTTAAAATCCCCTTTCTCAAATCAGGCTGTTCTGAGATTCCTGTCAGAATGACGTAGTTCTGCACAGGGCCCTCCCACGATAGTTGATTGACATTAGCGTCTTACCTTAGACCCGCCCTGAGTGAGCTGTCATCAGTCCGCCATTGTGTCGACTCCGGTGCAGGGGAAGACAAGAATGTCTCCGAATGAAGCGACTGAGGTGTTTTGTTGTTGGATGTAATAATGAACATAGCAGTCGTCATATACTCCCGACATCTGAGCCACTGAAGACGCAGAGGATTAACGTTACTTTCGTTTTGAAGGGAATCTGCCTAAATGCGTCTGTGTTCACGCGAATCATTCGGGATCGAGCTTCATCTACACAAGAAGCGAGTATAAGGTTTTTTATGAATCTTTGCAAATCACCTTTCCTAATATGTGCTAGTTAGAAAGTTTCGCGGCTAAAGTAAATAGTCACGCCGCAGGAGAGAGGGGCGGTGTGAGCAGAGTTCATTAGCATTTAAAGCAACATGGACTAGAATTGCTTGCTAAAAACAGAGCTCATTTTGACAGGGTAAAAAAGGTGTTTTTTACACTACCACTGAGACATTTTAACCAAAGTATGTTATAGACTTTTCATTAAGACCCTAAATAATCATATCAACTTATATCAAATGGGCATCCGATGACCCCTTTAAGTATCTTTTTGGCTACTTTGTAATTTTATTGAGTATCAAAGATATTAGCCTGACTTGTTATTATACTACTTGACTACATTTTTGATTAAGTATATGTACTCTTTACTCCACTACATTTGTGATGAGCAATGCAACTATTCGTTACATTTTGTATGGCATCTACCTTTTTCTGCAGCTGTTTATTTCTGCTACAAAAGAAGTGATATTAGGGCCTTTCGCACCGCTTTAGTTCCAGAACTAAATGT